CCACGGAAAAACAAATTTAAAGACATTTAGTTTTTTTTAAATTTCGGTGTCTGTTTTATGATTATAAACTTTAATGTGTTAGTTCTGACTTAATGAATAACTCATACATTTAATAATCTATTTCCGAGGTACACCGTGGCGTCGCATTTACTAATTATAGCAGGTCAAAAATTGTTTGTACAGGTACTTTATTAATACGTTGTATAGAAGATTTTAGTGAAGACATTAGGTTTTATAAGTGTTCTGTTATTATATGTATGTACTTTATATTTGTTTTCCTTTCATATTGTAACTATACATTATTTTATTTGCATAATATTAAAAAATCTTTTACTTTTTAGTACTCGGAATTAGAAACTTTGATTTAGCATCATAAAACGCTATTCCGATGTATTTACGTCGGAATAAGGTTACATGAGTACCTAATTCCGATGTATTTACGTCGGAATAAGATTACATGAGAACCTAATTCCGAAGTTAGTTAAGACCCTGTTTAAATACAGAGTGTTCATTATTTTATGTGCTTAGTAGATACGCGTTTAGTAACTGAAAGAATACTAATCATCTATAAGGAATAATATTAATAAAAAACAGGGTTTAGAATAAAACTAGAATAAACAAAAACAGATTTTTTTAAGTAATATAAAAAATAAACAGATTTGACTTTTAAACATCATGTATAATTCTCCCTACATAGTTCCCTTTCTATTTTTATACTCGGAATTAGGAACCAAATGCATCGGAATTACGATTTTTAAATCGGAATAAGGTACCTCGGACTTTTTTATATTTTTATTTATTTTATCAGCTTCAATAACCTTCTACTGACAAACTGCAAATATTTTTCAAAAATTTGATAGCTAACACTTCTGATAAAAATATAAAATTGTACACAAAGGTCCGATAAATACTTAATTTATAATGTTCTTTCGTGTTATGTTAAAAACAGCGCGGAATTAGGTGCCTTTACCTTATAGTCTTTTTTTTTAAGGGGGGAAAATCATCGAATGACTGCTCCCGCCTGGGTGAGGCGGAAGGGAGTGTCAGACTCTTACTGACTAAAAACCACCCCACTCCTTCTCCTGCACGTCGAGCCGGAGCCCCGGTTACCCGTTACTCCGCGACTATCGTATAGTCTATATAGCGATTATGACCGACTGTGTGTACTAACCGACTGTGACCAGAGGCACATACGATGAATGAAATCAGCCCTACTCTTCAGTCTTGCCGTAGATATCGCAAGCTTCGACTAAAGAGTTATATGCTTAAAACTGAAATTATATATTATAACCTAAATTACCCTATTAACCTTTAAATCTGAACCGAACACTTTTAATTTAATTCTGCACAAGACTCACATCACCCATCAGAGTTCATACGTAACTAATCAACACATTATCCAACGAAGTTACATCGTCAAATATTTAAACGAAATTGTTTGAGCCCCCATGAATACTGAGAAGACACATCATTAGCTTTAAATTAATGGTAGGCGACGCAATTATTCTTACTTGTAGACTTAACAAACCACGAATTTGTTCTCGTATCTTAGAATATAATTAAGGTTCCATGTTGACATATTGTGGCTGTCGTATTAAATTTTTAAACTCTCATTATATGAGATCAAGCTGGCCTGGAACTTCTGGAAGTTGTTTGGGGTGGCCATTGTTCAGCTGTGGACGTCTTGTAGCTGATTACTGTGCTGGTGATTATGTAAAGATTCTGGAACGAGTTTTTGTAATAGGACTACTATGTGAAAAAACTGCAAGTATGTGCGAGTACTATTATGTGATAGAGACTTTGCAATTGAATTATAGTATGTAAGAAAATAAATAAAAGATTGAACTGTAACACCAATTTCAAACCGTATACCATCAAAACGTGTCGCGGAGAACCTAACGGGTAACCGGGGCTCTGGCTCGACGTGCAGGAGAAGGAACGGGGTGGTTTTTAGTCAGTAAGAGTCTGACACTCCCTCTCACCACACCCAGGCGGGAGCAGTCATTCGATGATTTTCCCACCTTAAAAAAAAATACCATCAAAACGTGTCGCGAAGAACCTATCGGGTAATCGGGGCTCTGGCTCGACGTGCAGGAGAAGGAACGGGATGGTTTTTAGTCAGTAAGAGTCTGACACTCCCTCCCCCCTCACCCAGGCGGGAGCAGGCACTCGATGATATTCCCCCCTTAAAAAAAATACCATCAAAACGTACGCCTCTGCCAGAAATTGGATGTGTCAACAATAAAAGTACATAACAGCAAATCTCAAAGGTCAAAAAGCAACAAGAAAGTCAATAACTTCAAAAGTCGCACCCAAAGTCAAAAACACGAACTTCAAGAATAATAAGAGCATTAAACACATATTTAGGACATTAATCACCAAGTAGTCTGACGTTTGTCGTTAAAATTACGCAACGATGTCTCTAGAAACAGATTACAAATTATATCAAAAGCTAACGCAGTTTTGGAGATAAACTACAGTCATATTTCAAAGAGAAGTCGCGGTTCTTGGGTTAAGTTTCAACCCTCACCCTTGGGATTGGTGGTATAGAGGATAAGTTGCAGCGGTTTAACACATGTTATGCCTTTAATGATAAATAACATAACATATTATCACGCCTTTTATCCTCGAAGGGGTAGGCAGAGGTGCACATAATGCCACTGTACAATGTAACACCAACTTTTCACTATTTACGTTATGAGTCCCATGTAATTGGGGGTGAGCCTATTGCCACATACCGGGCACAATTCCATTCTCCGTGGTACTACTGAGATTTTTTTTAAGAGCCCAGTTATACTTTGCCCGATCCGGGAATCGAACCCGAAACCCCTTGCCCGGCAGTTGTACTTGCGACCACTCGGCCAACGAGGCAGTCGTAATGACAAATAATCTTAACTAATATGTAAATAAGTCATTGTACTTATTAGGTGCGATGAAATTTGTCTGCCAAGCGTGGATGCTGGTGTGTGGAATACCTTTTTATGTAGAAGAGCTTATAATAATTAATTATGCAGTGGATTTACACCGGCTGTTGATGTATGTTTGATGATGGAGCAGCAACCAAGCAGACCGATCACCTAATGGTAAGCTATAGACACCTGAAACACCAGAAGAGATAACTGCGTCACCAGCCTTTTGTGGGGCTTCCATTTCTTTCTACTTCTTCGGGAAATTCTCCAATCACTTCACTTAAGTGTGGGAGACCCATGCTTCGGCACGAATGGTCTGGTTCGACCGGATTGATACCACGGCCTTATAGAAAACCGACGTGAAGTAACGCTTGCGTTGTGTTTCGTCGTGTGAGTGAGGTTAACGAAGACCCAATTATCCTCCCCTTCCCCAATCTCCCCAATCCCTGAATCCCCAACGATCCTCAAACTCCTAATCCCCAAAAGGCCGGTAACGCACTTGTAACGCCTCTGGTGTTCCAGGTGGCCATAGGCGACGCCAATTGCTTACCATCAGGTGATCCATCTGCTCGTTTACCGGCTTATGCCATAAAAAAAAACTACTAGTTGAGTTTTTTAATACTAAAACTCCTCCTCTCATAGCTTGATCCAAACACAAACCACCATTTGAAGCCTATTTCGCAACACTGGTAGTTTGTCAGGCCCCGATTAAACAAGCCTTGAGGACATTTCTTTAAACTTATACACACAAGTAGGTAGACAGTCGTACATCATGTCCCTTGTGTCTTTGATAATAGAGTCGTGTTTTGGATGCTATCAGGCTTGTGGTAAATGGTCATCTGCACACATGAACATCTTATTAAGTTTACACTATTACAGTTGCGAAGTTAATATGTGGCTAATGTATTTTGAAAGTCAAAGAGACAGAGTTTTTGATGTAGTTTGTGTCAAAAGTGCTATCGATTTATTACGTCCGATCTTTCATATTATTGTATTATTCTAGTGATACCACAATTACTTATATCTTCATAAAATCTTTTGTGTCGATCACTGAAACCAGCACATAATGGTCCTACGTACATAATTATAACATAACATCACGCCTTTTTATAGGGCAGGGGTAGGCACATTACGGCACTTAATGTCACTGTACAATGTAACACCCTCTTTTCACTATTTATGTTATGAGTCCCATGTAATAAGGGGTGAGCCTATTACCATATACCGGGCACAATTCCAGTCTCCGTGCTACTACTACATACATAATTATGTAATCAATAAATTATTTTTCAAAAGATTTGGAACACCAATTGTGATTTCTCTGGTGTTATGGGTGTCTATAGGCGGCGCTAATTACTTATAGCGATAATATATCTGCTGGTTTGCCCCTTATTCTATTAAAAACTGCTGTATGTTAAGTGTGGGAGAGCCATGTTTCGGCAAAAATGGGCCGGCTCGACTGGAGTGATACTACGGCCTTACAGAAAAGCGACGTGAAGCAACGCTTGCGTTGTGTTTTGTCGTGTGAGTGAGGTTACCGGAGGCCCAATTACCCTCCCCTTCCCAAATATCCCCAATTCTTGAATTCCCAACGATCCTCAAACTCCTAATCCCCAAAAAGCCAGTGACACACTTGTAACGCCTCTGGTGTTCCAGCTGTCCATGGGCGACGCCGATTGCTTTCCATCAGGTGATCCGTCTGCAAGTTTACCGGCTTATGCCATAACAAAAATTACTTATGGCGATAATATATCTGCTCGTTTGTTCCTTATTCTATAAAAAACTGCTGTATATTGAACAATATTATTAACAAGACAAAAACCTTTCAAAGTAGAAAGTACATTCATATCTTTAGAAACCTTGCAAATAACCTATATAGTACATTTCTTTGAACAACAAGCTTCGTACCGTTTGGTGTAATTTCAACTGCGACATCTTTGTGCGGTCGTTGTCAAGTATTGGTCTCTTGTTTCACAGAGTCGCGCGAAGTGGTTCGCGTTCATTATCTAACTATTCTTTGATGGTGGAGCGTAGTTTCCTAAATTAAGGTCCTTGAACTCAATCTGTGTTACAACTTAAAGTAATTGTGATTGCACGACTGGTGCGGTGGCTGGGCAACCGGCTGCCGCGAAACGTGTGGCGGGTCATACAAAGAGGTCTTTGTATGATCAGACCCGCCGAAGATTACAATCTACAAATTGTTGTTTGGGGTCTGGGTGTCATTGTGTATGTGAACTTGAATCTCAGTAGTTGTATGAAGTCTGGAATTGTGCCCGGTGTATAGCAGTAAGCACACCCCCTATTACATGGGACTCGTAGCAAGAATAGTGAAAAGTGGGTGTTACATTGTACAGTTTCATTAAGATCAACATTATGGCACCTCTACCTAGCTTTTCGGGAATAATGTTAGATTTTTAACTCTTTCGTTTAGGTATAAAGTCCAAAATCCAATGATAAATATTGACACAATTGAGTAAATTGATATGCTGGTTACTGTACCCTTATAACCACTACACCAATGAGGCAGCACGAAATAATACACCATATTGAATGCCATGAATAATTTAATCAAATAATGGATTTAACATTTAGCATAATAAGTTGCCTAATTGCCTAATTAAAACCATAAATGCAGTGTAAATATGATTTATTAATTATTTGTGCAACTAATTGCATTATTGTAGTCGTTACATTACGCATATTTGTCTCGAAATGGGTAGGTACAGTTTGTAAATACAATAGGGATGATGACAGGGCATGAAAATTAAAAATGTATTTAGTCCGTCAGTTAGGTAATGATAAAATATTAGACACGTATTTTTTATTTTGTTGTATAATAAAATGAGATATAACGAATCAAAGTTTAGGAGTGGGGGCTTTTTTTTTAAGGAGGGAAAATCGTCGAATGACTGCTCCCGCGTGGGTGAGGCGGAAGGGAGTGTCACTCTTACTGACTAAAAACCACCCCGTTCCTTCTCCTGCACGTCGAGCCGGAGCCCCGGTTACCCGTTAGGTTCTCCGCGGCTCCGAAAGGAGTTGGGGCTAAAACGTCATTTCTACGTATAAAATGTACATAGAAGTCACGTCACGTGACATTTCAAATCAATATATCTTCGAAACTATTCGTTTCTTTCATTCTTTCGAAGCTACAAGTACTAAATTAATTATTATGCTTACTCACGTATTTATTTGATGATGAACTCGACTAGTATCAAGCCATGCTAGAGGTTCATTTTAGGTGCGTTGCAGGTCTTTTGGGATTAGTGGTTAAAAGAATGGGGGATTTGCGGAATGGGCTTGCTCCAGTAACATCACTTAAGAATGAAGAGTAGTTTTACGCCGATTTTCTGTGAGGCCGTGGTATCACCACTACACCAAGAAATAGAAGACTTACCACTCCTTTTAAATGTAATAGGTACTATTATCTTCAACGGGTTTAAAAATAAATGTAAGTAAAGAACCTAAAAGGATTCGATTATTTTATAACTCTAAAATATTTTTGTTACTTAATATTAAAACACTTAATTCGACTCCTACCCACTCGAAAAATTTGATTAATTAAAATTTTATGAAGCGCCTTTTTTAGGTAACTCCTATTTAAATATCCGGTCGAGTTTCAAGAATTTTTAAGCTGTATCAAAATTAAGTTATTAAAGGTTAAATTTTATATTTAATACTGAAATTGGATTTACATTGTTTGCGAGGTTTAGTTCAAAAAAGTATAAAATTACCTAATTATAGCGAAATCTAAATTAACGAACTTGTTACCTACTTAAAAAGAATACCTAGATAACCTTTTTAATTGACTTCAAAAAAGAAGTTCAGAAAAGAAGTGTGGGAGAGCCATGCTTCGGCACGAATGGGCTGACTCAACCGGAGTGATACCACGGCCTCACAACCGACGTGAAACAACGCTTGCGTTGTGTTTCGTCGTGTGAGTGAGGTTACCGGAGGCCCAATTACCCCCCTCCCTAGACCCCATCTCCCGAATCCCCGAATCCTCCACAATCCTCAAAATCCCAATTCCCAAAAGGCCGGTAACGCCTTGGTGTTTTGAGTATCCATGGGCGGCGCCGATGGCTTACCATCATGTGATCCGTCTGCTCGTTTACCGGCTTATGCTATAAAAAAAAGAAGTTAAGCCTGTATGTATGTACATATATTTGTGCGCGATTATCTCGCGATTGGCTTAACCGATTTCGATGCGGTTTTCAGAAAAGTGGTTGGTACAATTAGGAGAAGGTTTTAGTATATTAATTAATCGACTTCAAAAACAGAGGGGGTTGAATTCGGTTTTTTCAAATCAAGTTTATACTTCGGTAAATTCTGATTGTACCATAAAACTACGTATACAGCAATTCGTAACATCGAGGGCTGCATAATACACCTATTAATAAAAACGTTAATATTCTCCAACATAACCATATATGGATTTTGATCGTCGACTTTACGTACATTCTGTATAACCTATTGTTATACTAAGAACTTAGAGCAGATATGAATGGGGCCGTCGGTAGGAGGTGCCCTAGACGGACATAATACTGACCAGATTGGCGATATATCAGAGAAAGGCCAAATTAAAAGTACCCTTAACCGACGAGCATGCATGAAAAGACTAATGAAGCGTAAGAGCTATGTAAAAATCGTAGCAATTGGCGTTCCATAGTTTCTGCCTACCCCTATAGGAGACAGGCGTGACGTTATGTATGTATGTATGTATGTATGAACTAAGAACTCAACTCAAAATATATACTTTCTCTTTTTCTCCAAACACAAAGCAAATAAAACTAATAGCTAAGTACAACTTGTTAAGTTCAGTGAAAACATTGCAACTACTGTTTCATAACTAGAGTCCACGTCGGCCACTTTGTGCGGCTATAAATTAACAATAGTTAAGCTAGTCTTTACAGAACTAATTAGTTAGTCTCAATAGTTCGGAGTCTGGCCTGAGTAGCCTGGTGTTTCGAAATAAGGAGGGGATATTGTGATGAGAGGTATTGTTTGGTCATATTTTGGCTGTTCATTTACAGTTTAATATAAGTTAAAATTATTATAGAATCCGTGTTTTTTATTAGTATAAGCCGGTAAAAGAGCAGACGGATTACCTGATTGTAAGCAATTGGTGCCGCCCATGGAGAAGTGTTTTTGATGAAGTGTGTTCATTGAAGGATTGTGGGGGAGCGGGGATTGGTATGACTAGAGTGGAGGGGGAGGTGTAATTGAGCCTCCGGTAACCTCACCCACTCGACGAAATACACGTTGTTCCCCGTCGGTTTTCCGTGAGGCCGTGGTATTACTCCGGTCGAGCCGACCCATTTATGCCGAAGTATGGGTTTCCCACATTTGTAGCAGAGATGAATGCGTTTGTCTTCACCGCTTCTCATTTTAAATGTGACTTCTTATCACGAATATTGTAAGAGCCGATGTGTGTGTGAGAGCGTTACCACCAAACTTGGTGGTAACGTTCTCTTTCTCTCTCTCTCTCTCTTTCTCGCTCTCTCTCTCTCTCTCTCTCTAAGCCTGAACGTTTTGATTTGCGATTCCAAGCCACGTAATAAAGTAATTATTAATATTACAATATTGTTTTACTAATGAATCTATCACAATACTCTACGACTTGTCTACTTATTTTATTCCTGCTCAAAAGTTTCTTTACTCATAGTATTTTCAAACACAAAAACATCACTATAATAACAAAATACTTCAATTAAATACCTACCATTCAATCGCACAAAGGATCCCATGAACCAAGCCAGTGGCCACACAGTCATATAAAGACACAACAGATAAACGAGGAAAATGCAATGAAAAATACAGCAAAAAAAATCAACTTCAATCTCTATACAAACACAAAAGACTCACCTGTCCTATTAAATAAATAAAAAAAAAAACGAAATTCACAAAACTACATTTTCTTTTATCTTTTCAAATCGCTGAACCACTTCATTTCGCTTCGCTCGCTTCGCCTATCAAACACAACCGCTTTATTTTCTCCGTCCAATGCAAACTTTCCGTAGAATTTCATGATTTATTCGTTTGACTTGTTCTTTTATTGAAAAAACGACTTCAGACGTTTTTCCGCGATCCCCCCTTCTCTTTGGAAAAAAGATATTTTATGTATTATATGGTTGTGCGTAAATTGATTATAGGGAAGTTCGTTGTATGGTAACTGAAGGGTGAATTTGTCTGTTGGGACAAAAATATTCAATTTCTTTTTGTTACTTTATTGGTGTGATTTTTATTATAATTAATTCTACTTATTGCACTACGTTTGTAATGAAAGTTTAGTTTTTTAAGCCGGTAATCGAGCAGACAGATCACATGATGGTAAGCAATCGGCGCCGCTCATGGAAACCTGGAACGCCAAGGCGTTACAAGTGCGTTACCGGCTTTTTGGGAATTGGGAGTTTGAGGATTGTGGAGGATTCGGAAGACTAGGGAGCGGGGTAATTGGGCCTCTGGTAAACTCACTCACACGACGAAACACAATGCAAACGTTGTTTCACGTCGGTTTTTTGTGAGGCCGTGGTAACACTCCGGTCGAGCCGGCCCATTCGTGCCGAAGCATGGCTCTCCCACACTTAATATGTTATGACAAAGTCACAAATAATGAAATGAATCACGTTTTTCAATTATTTTAATACCAAAAGTGATCTAAAGGATTCCTTTTACAGAGCAAAATATTAATCAAACAAAATGCGCGCCTGCTTAAATTCACGTCTCATAAACCAGCTAACAATCGTTTATTACGTTTAGAAAAGAGACTATGACAGACAAAACAGTATCTAGTACCTCGTAATAATCTCCAAAGAAGTAGAAGAGATAAAATTACATCTATTTATTACTCGTTGTCTTATTCAAATCATCCAAGTAACAGTATAGTATTCTCGAACTCTTTGCAATGCCCTGCAACAGAAAATTTTTAAGTTAAAATCGTCAAATGAAATAGAAAGGCCTTCTCAAGCTGGTAGTACGTCTACTCGACCATCAACCCAGTCATTAAATTCAAGTAAACAATTTACGCCTCATAAAGCAAGCAAGCAATTATATCCACTACACAAACCGCGACTTCAAAAACAATTTCTAAGTACAATTTTCAGCCCAACCATTGTCAAAAGCAGGCTCGTAAATCAGTTATGTCTT